ATATATATATATATATATATATATATATATATATATATATAGATATATATATATATATATATATATATATATATATATATATATATATATATATATATATATATATATATACATATATATATATATATATATATATATATATATATATATATATATATATATATATATATATATATATATATATATATACAGTGGTTTTCATAAAAACTTAACATTTTTATGAAAACCATCTTTTGCCCATTTTTTTGCGTCTTTTTAGTGCAAAACTAACTTATCTTTTGTTTATTTATTAAATAATGATTAACTAATTCCAGGTAAGTCATATTTATATGAGGTTTTTTGAAAAAATCAATTAATTTAGGCCTATTAATGAGAAATATGGGGAAAAACTACTAATTAAGTATCAATTAACAAGATATAAGACTTTTTTGATTGTGCGTCTAAATTTATGAACAAAATAAAATCAAGCTTATTAATTAACTTTTTTGTGTTAATCGGTATAGAATGAGTAATAAACAACCTGTAAAAAAAATTAAGGTACTCTATAATAGAGTTTCACTTCCTCTTGTAAATTATATATCAAACATAGCGGTAGTACTTTTATTTTATTTTTATTTTGAGTATTTTCTTACATATATGAAAATATATATATATATATATATATATATATATATACATATATATATATATATATATATATATATATATATATATATATATATATATATATATATATATATATATATATATATATATATATATATATATATATATATATATATATATATATATATATATATATATATATATATATATATATATATATATATATATATATAAATATGTATAAATATATTTTTATTTATTTTTACTTTTTAAATTTAATAATGATCATACTAATTCAATAACATTTTTTAAACATTTGCTTTCAGATTGATAATGATACAAGTTTTATTTTTTGATTAAGATTCTGTATCTCAATGATATCCTGGCTACGATACGATACGATATCCTGTAATTTCACTCACTTTTAATTTTACTCACACACGTAAATCCTGTTAATTCACTCACACACATAAATCTTTAAAAAGATGTTTATATTTTATCTATAAATTGTAAATTTTATATAAATAAATTGTACATTTTTTATGTTTTTCATTGTATATTACTATTTGTATTAAAAATCGACTTTGGAAATATTGCAAGTGCAGAATTCAACATACAATTTTGTTTTATTTGCAAATTTAATATACATTATAAACAAGTTTAGTCACGTTTAATAATATTTTGCGATATTTTTTCCAGCGCATTTGAGCGTTGAGTTAACGTTATATTTCAACCTTTACTCGACGTCTTTGAGTCACGTTAAATTGACGTTTTACTACCCTTACAAATCCTTGCAAAATCAACTGCTTTAACAACGTTAAAGTAACGCTTTGCAAGTAACGTTTTTTCCACGTTAAGTTGCGACGCCTATCCAACGCTTTTTAAGTAACGCTTTTTCAACGTTTAGTTGCGACATTTTTGTAACGTCTTTTAGTAACGTTTTTTCAAGGTTACGCTACAACGTTTAATTAACGTTCCTTTAACAACGTAACATATCTTTGCAAAATCGATTACTTTGTCAACGTTTCCGCAACATCTTTTGCGACCGGTTTTCAATGTTGATTCAACGCTGACATGTTTGCTGGGGTATGTTTCTATATAAACCTTGCGCAGATCTGTCAATATTTAGTTTACTGACTATTAAATTTAAATTAAAAAGTTTATTTTCTACTTTTTAGTACAAAAAGATTATATTTTTAGCAAATGTTTTTGCTATATTTAATTAAAACTTATAGGAGTAAAACAAAATTATTAATATGGTTGGAGTTGAATAGACTTAAAATGACTAGTATAAAGGTCATGGTAAGTCTGCTATTCCACATATTTAAGTAATACCATATATCATATCATTTTTTTAAAATTTTTTAAACCGATTGTAATTAACTAAGACGTTTCTAAATATTTCTTCTAAACATCATTTTAAAGTTAATTAAACTTCTTTTTTTCTTATATATATGTATATATATATATCTATATATATATACATATATATATATATATATATAATATATATATATATATATATATATATATATATATATATATATATATATATATATATATATATATATATATATATATATATATATATATAACTGTAAAAAAAATATATATAATTTATAATTAATAATTTACATTTTTTACAGTTTACATATATATTTATAACTAAATAAATATATCTGTAAATTGTAAGAAGAAAGATGTAAGTTATAAATAAGACTTACCGATAAACTGTTGTAATTAAATCACTAATTGGTTAGCAACAACAACATCAGCAACAGAAAAATAAACCCACTTTATAATGGTGTAAGTAAAAACTTGTAATAAAATCTCAGGTATATAACAAATAAAATTGAAGTATGAAAATGTGTGAAATAATCTTTTGACTACTTTACTTGTTAAAGAAAAATAGCAAATTTACCTTATTAAATTTTGATTGCGCTCAAAAATATCTAAAGACAGGAGAAATTTAAAAAATCTTAAATTAGAAAACAAAAAACCCACCCTATTAAAATACAACAAAAAAAAAACCAATACTTATTGACATAATAAATAAATAGTTGCAGAATCAGAGGGTGTTTTAACAGAGGGTGTTTTTACTGTTAATTGATACATCTTCTTTTTTCTCTATTTTTATTCTTAAATATTATATCTTCTTTTTTACTATTTCTTTTTTTTTTCCAAAATTTTCTACTTGATTTATTAACCATATATTATTGTTATGATCTGTAGGGGCTCTATGAAAAGATTAGGTTGGTATTTTGCCATCCATATCTTCTTTGAGCCCCTGACTGTTTATTAATTGTACATTTGTAATTATATTTTATTTTTGGTGAAAGGAAATTGTAATTTATATAAACAGCAAAATAAAAATAAAATTAAAAAAAAAAAAAAAAAAAATCTATTTTTATGTGAGGCGAAAGAATTATCTTAATTTACTTGTATTTAAACAAAACTGAAACATTTAGAATTAAATAACTCTATCAATTCTAAAGAAAAACGTCGTCCCCAAACAAAAAATTGTAGTGCATACTTTTTTTAATGAAATAACATCTATATATGCGTATATACCATTAATTTCCATGTTTGGGTTTTTATTCTTCAACACCTACATAAAATCATTTCTTGCGTTTTTCGGACGAATTTTTTCAAAAACAAACGAAGCATTTTTTCTGCGATAAAATGTCACGTGATAAAACTCTATAATTATGTGTTGTTGTTTTTTTATTTTTATCGGCATTGAATTTTTTGTACAGAATTGAAACTTGGGTGAAAACTTAGTGAGTTTTTACTTTGTAATCTTATTTTGGAGGAGAAATGCTTGCGTCAATGTTTGCATTTCAATGGTGACAACTATTATAACGTCATTTAACGTAGCTTTAGATGACAAATAAATAATGAGCTAAAGAATAACATTGAAAAGATGACTGTTATCTGCTTAGAAACCGTATATTATTTACCAGTAGCAGCAATTCTTAATCCCAAATTCTTATTTTGATTCCAAGAATACTTTAAAAATGCTTTAAAAACACATGTTTTTGAAGTGAAACGTTTCAAATTAGAGCCAATAATCACTGAAAGTTCATCATCATTTCTCACACCACCACCAACATTTAGCAATAATGAAAGATTGTTATGTCAGGTCATAGGCAATTTTCTTTTGCCAAGGCCTTAAATTACGCTAATAAGCTAAAAATTTTGTTAAATAAATGATCACGCAAGATTAGGCGCTAAATTTTATTTTTCTAACCTAGCTTGAGGTTACTAACCCTACCGGCACATCTAGTTTCTATTTCGGAAATAAAACCTATATAGGCACGTGTTTTTCACGATCCAGGCGTAAACCAAAAGCACGTGTATATTACGGGCAGTTTTACTAGAGTTTAACACGTGTTATTTGAGGTTTTAAAGCCAAATTTAAATGTAGCATTTTTTTATCAGTGGTTTCACTTACGGAAAGTTATTACAATATAATACAACGTTTCCATAAAGGTGAAACCATTAATATTTTAACTGGTATTTATGGTAAATAGTAATAGTTAATTTCACGGAATAAAAACCATTTTTGATACGTGTTATTCTTTTTGTTTTAGGAGGTTTTAAAAATGCAACAGAAACCAAGCGTAACTATTTTCGGCTCGGAAACAATATAAATAAAATAATTTAAAGGGGTTAAACTTTTCTTTTTAAAAATTTCGTTATCCGAACAAATAAGCCAAACTAGGCGCTAGATTTTGTGTATTGAACTCAGTTCAAAGTTGCGTTACCAAAATAAAACTAATAATTACTTGCATAATTTCTCAAACATGAAAAAGAGTTAAACAAACAAGACGCGCATGACACGGGGGTAATGCAGGTTTTATATATTTGTTACAATTTATTAGATTTCGCTACTTACACAAAATAAAAATAAAAAATAAAGAACTTATTACTTTAAATCTCATTACCTATTTAATTATCTAATCATTGTTTAGTAAAAAATAATTTAGTCAATGCGCTAAACGATTTCATTTTGAAACTCCTTCCTATTTTTTGAACAGTCATGTTTACAAATGTGGGAGTTTAAAAATTGTTTAAAATTGATTTACAACTAATCTTAAGATTGAAAAAATATTTGAAGACAAATTTAAAAAAATAAGGGGTACGTAAGCACCAAGTTTACAATTACATTGATAACGTTTTTATAGAAGAATTGCGCTATACAAATAAATTTGTCAAAGACAAAAAAACCCCCGGCATTATTTTTATTTCCTAGATTATATTCACTATATTTATTATATTATGTTCCTTAAAGAAAAAGGTTTAGTTTCTAAAAAACTTATAAAAGCATCTTAATTGAAATTAAAAAATGCTTCAATTTAAAGATGGATTTTGCAATTGCTTTAGTGACTTAC